TGTAGAAGATGCTGTTGGTCCCACCTCGAAAGACTGTTTTAACAAGCACTGTGCCTGCAAAAGATGGGGGGACCCCTGAAATAAATGCCACCCACTTCTGACAAAGAAATGCACTAGAATTAAGAGAAAGCCATCTGTCTGCAACTGTGATGGCAAATCTAGAGTGATGACAGACCTGAAACAAAGCATCCTTGAGAACATATGCTCTTGAGGTAAACCCAATGTCCATGGCAGCCCAAGACACCAAGTGAGGGCCAATCAAAAACTAAAAAGGATTAAAGTCACAAACGTGAACTTCCATGACTATGTGCCTCAAACTGCAAGACTCTGAGACACCTGGTAGGGCCACAGGTGCTCCGGGAAGTAGCTTCACATTTCCCTGCTTTTGTTGATCCTGGTACGTGGTTACATCTTCTTCACGAACTGGAAACATTAAACGTGTTTGCGCAGCTGGATAGATTCCATAATGACTAGGTGGTTAGGTGTTCATGTATTTGTTTAAAAACACAATGGTATTAGAATATATAAAGTGTCATCTAACATAAAAGCAACATAAGATTATCATAATAATTGGGTAAAATTAATAACCACAGGAATAAATATCTGAAAGTTAGCCTCCTACAAGAAAGCCAAGTATGTATTTTCATTTTCTTACTTTTGACTAGAATCTGCAAATCTCCTGAACAACATAGGTCGCAGCAGTTTCTAACAAGAGGAAAAGCAAAGCATAAATATATCTGGCAGAAAACAAATTCCAAGGGAAAAATAAATAAATAAATGAACCATGAGTCCAGGCAAAAACATAATAAAATCATTCAAAAAGTACTTGATCAGGTCATCGACTTCACCAATGCAATTAGTGTGTGTGGAAAAGATGTACACCCTGGATTCTAAATGGTGTACCCTTCTTTGCTAGTGTCCTGGCCATGGGTTAATGAGACCAATAAGTTACCATTAAAGATTGAAAACTGTCATTTCAGAGATTTCAAGACTTAAAAATTATCTACTGGGGAAAGTGGTGCCATGAATGAACGCGTCAGCAACCCAGGTTGACTTCATTAATCTTGCAGGATGACAAATAACCGTGTTTACTCAAGAAAAATGTTCGCCCAAGTAGTGCCTCCCTCATAAAAGCAATCTGTAGGGTGTCAGGCTTCTTACAGGCAGTACCGCTGCGCTACCTATTCCTGATAAGTGAGTACTCCTATTTAATTATTTAAAGTCCATTGATTTCCACATTGATGAAAAGTCATAATTATCAAAATGACTTAAAGAACCAACCTTTTACTTTGCTGACTCTGTCCTGCAGAAAGAGACATCAGGTTGATATATTAAAGCTGCTGCCTCAATAAGTAGTTGATAACGCAAAAACCTCATTGTGCATTCCAAGAAGTACGTGTTTGGTAAGTGCTAGAGGAGGCATTCAAGGTAAATGTCGATTTTTTTGCTACCATTAATGGCACAGATACACAATACCTGTATTTCCATTGGGTATTTATCATCACAGTTCTGGAAAATGTAACTGGAACCTGGCATTCCCATGAACAAGCATCCCCTGAATGCAGGACTAAATAGACTGAAAATCCCAGCTCCTGTCAAATTCTCCCTCAGGAAGATGAGATGAGGATCACACCATTTTAATGTCTTTTATTGTGGATGTTAGGGATGTGGGCCATAGAGCCGCATCCTCTATTAACAGACCTGTGAGAAGGCTCTCGCTGAATCCCTGAAAATACTGAAAATACTCGCCAAAAGACCCCAAATAAAGCTCATTCTTCAGGAAAAAATGAAGCAAGACAGAGGCAACTGAACTGTGGAGCAAATATATCAAAAAAGAAAGTTAATTAAAAGTTGAAGTGAATGGAAACCCCTGCAGTATCTGCCAGCAAAGTAAGGACCACAGAGACACACAGCTCACCAGCGCTTTTTTTTTTTTTTTTTAATCTGCAACAACTGCAAAAAACACTTGAGATTCACTCCAAACTCCAAAAGACAAGTCCGATGTTCTTCTGTTCTGTAGTGAAAACACAACTTCGCTGAAGCTTACTGTGTTTTATAATATCAAAAATATTCTCTTTATACCAAACTAGTAGGCTGCTATTCCTGGGCTTGGCAAAGACAAAAGGAAGGAAAAAACCGGGAGATTCTGGCAGTCAAGACCTAATCTATCATCATAAAGTAAAAAAGGGGAAACCATGGCGGCAGTCATAGACACAATTCATGAAACAGCTCCCTTTCTGCCACCATGAAAGCGGCACATTGTTAAATGTTTGTATTTATGTTGATGAATTTAATGAAAATACTGCTACCTCAAATTACATTACCTAATAAAAACCTGTTACCAAAATGGCAGTTTTCCCAGTCTCCAGACACTTAAAATAGAGGGCCAATTATTATCTTACTTATATTCACAGTAACTACTTTGTAAAGTTTTCACCTTAGTGCAAAAATGACTAAACTAATGAACAGATTACATCAATTCATAACATGAAGTGTCAATTAAAGACACTATAGAGAATGCATAAAATTATATAGTGGTATAGTTTACCTTACTTAACTGAAAATCAAGCTTAAATACCCATGCCTGAAAAGTGCAAATACAATTTATTAGGCAATACAGCATTGTCACTACTGAGTTCCCTTAACACAACATTAACACATTTTGCAACCAAGTTTTCCAACTCATTTGAGAGTAGCCTAATTGATAAGGATGCAGTGATGTGATGAAGGGTGCACACAATTTGTACTTAGGGAAGTAACTCCTCAAACAAATGAATGGGCAGAACCGTGAAAATAAGCAGCAGAAAAGCAACTATCTCGTTGCCTGTCCAAATGATGCTGCTCATACTTGGAGTACTTCGGATCCCATTCATACTCTGAACTCTTTAAATCTAGCTTTGCTCACTTTAAAAATACAATCATGTTTGGGGAAGAGGGGGGAATGTACTGAGAGCCAAAAGACAACTGCAAAAATGCTCCCCCAAATTGTCTCACATGCCCTACCTGTCATTCATGGAAGTCCTTGCCTAGCAAGTCAAAGGTACTTCAGGGTTCTTCAGGAGTCCATGGCAGAGGACTGCAATCCAAGGGCAAGAACAGATACCCACCCTCCACCCCCGGAACCTAATGCCAAGCAACACCTTACCTTCCCCTCAAATCAGATTTACAAAATGCCAGGCAACAGCAAGAAATGACAACAAAGCTATAAACAGCTGGAAATAATTACACAATTGTCAAGCTGTACACATGACAAAAGCAAAGCCAGGCTTGTGAATTCAATATCAGAAAGGATGCTGATGAGTAGGTAAGAGAAGCATTTTAGTTGTCTCCAATTTGCTATTACACAGTAGCCAGTAATATGGTTGATGGGGTTTTGTGCAGTGTGTGTGTGTGTGTGTGTGTGTTCAAGCACATGCAACTTTATAGAAAAGAGGGGAAAAAAACACATTTCATGTGCTCCTACAAAATATGAGATGCATAAGCACAACCAAAACAGCATCATAGGCTCAGAAGAAAATCTTTTAGAGTTGTTACAACTAAACTATGCCTTACAGATAAGAAATATTTCTTTAAAGTTATAAAAAAAATTTTTAAAGCATAAGGAAAATACAGAGGCAATGCAATAGCACAGAACTGTTCACATAAAGCATCTGACATGTGGGCAAAATGCCAAAGCAGACCGGCCGGGAATAACAGAATAGCAGGAGATCAGTGGGTGCACCTATGTGCATTATCATCTTCCACAAAGACATCATCAGAGCCTGTAGTTTCTTATCAGCTGCGCTATAATTTCATGAACTCCTCCAAATAACGGAGTTCAGCAAACAATCTTTCCACAGTTTTAAGGACTATGGTTATTGGCAATTTTTAAAGCCAGAATAACTTGTCTTCATTCCTTTGTGGGCTGCAGCTTTATTGTGATATTTGGATTTCATGTGACAGTGTTTCATATAATGTCCCCAAAAATGCTACTCTCTGAAGCGGAATGCCATAAATAAAGTACGTACTTGGTTACCAGGCAGCATGCATAACACATATGTTACATTGGCCCAAAAAGCACATTTTAAAATGCTTGAAAGTTAACTTAACAATTTAAGCTGTTTGTACCCATTTTCAGAGAATTATCCCCTAAAGGCCAATTTTATTTTCTATCTTCGAGAGAATTCTCGGATTAATCCTGTTGATTTGCTAACTTGAAATCCTTTTTACCCCTCTAATCTCTCCTCCACAGGCCATTTTTTTTTCTTTATTTCCTGAAGGGGAGGGTGAAGAACCATATATCTCACAATGTAATTTTAAGCATAATGCTGCCTGTTGGAATTAAAATTGATGCAGCTTCTGATAAAAGCCTAATAATCAATTTTCCATTCTCATTACTCTCCAGAATTATATGGACGCAGACCAATTTCTTAAGTTTGTGGACTACTCTCATAGGTTATTACCCAGCAGTGCAGCTGAGTGGAAAGATAACCACATTCATTCTCCTTATCTGTAATGATGTAATGCATCCCAGCCCTGGGTCTAGATGACTGGGGAATAATGGGGATTGTAGGACTGCAGGGATGACAAACAATAGTAGAGCGTCTGTCTCTGATCCGCTGAACCCCAGCCTCCAATGCAGGCAAGGGGAAAGGCATCACAGGAAAAGCACCAATTCTGCCCCTTGGATGAAGTTAGCATTTTTGGCCAGGAGAGCATCTGCTCTCACACTGAAACAGCAATACCGACTCTGAGAGAGCCTTGCAAAATCACTCAGTTTCCGAGCCCCAGCCAGGACAGTGCACAGTATCCTGCTCTTTGTGTTTAGAATCAAGTGTCATCTAAAAATAACTGGTTGGTAGGGAGAAGTCAGTGCACAGAACATTGCCAAGAAACCGGGAGAAGAGACACCTCTGATAACGGATGCTACTCGGGGTTCACGTTTGTTTGGAAAACTAAATCTGCCTCCATTTTCTGTGCTGAAAAAAAATCATCCCTTCCTGCCACCACAGAAACCTTACCTTTTGCAAAAGCTGGGAACCAGAGTACTTAGCAGCGATGGATTTTATCTCCCCACCAAAAGCCGAGGCCCAGAGCTTCACCCTGCAGGGGGAAAGGGCACAGAAAAAAAAAATGTGACACCCGTGTCACAGTCCACACGCACGCACATGCTCACACTGGGCTGTATCTAAAGGGGCTGGGAGATATATTTTTAAAAAGAAAGAAAAAGCGTCCTTGGTAGAAACTGCCAGCACCAAACTGCACAGCTCAGATCCAGAGAGGGGCCCGGAGGGGGGGGTCACATAGTTCAGGATGCGCAAAGTCTCTCTGGCGATCTAAAAAATTACTGGATTCGACTTGAATAATTGCCGGGTATCTTGACCACCAAATTGGACACCACCTGGCAAATATTAGTCCGAGGAAATCCCCCCTCGCCCACCCCCCCACAGCCCCCCGCAAAAAAAGAAGTGAGATGGCAAGATAGCAAAGAGGGGGATAAATAAACGGCCCATGGAAGTTAGGCTCGGTAAACAGGCTTCAAAGTTGGTGTTGTCACTTAAGGTGAGCCTCTCCCGGTCTTACTTGCAACCTGAGGGAGGGGGCAAAAGGATCCCACCCTAGCCGGGTCACCCGACGCCCAACCTAGAAGGCAGGTGCGAGAGGCGAGGCCGACGCCCGCAGCAGGTCCTGCCCAGCCGCACCTGCAGGCGCCCAAACTTGGGCACTGTGGGTCGCGGGCAGTTGGGTCCCCTCCCGAGCGGTGCAGGACCCGCACTTACACGGAGAGCGGGATCTGCTGCTCCGAGCGCACCACGTCCCCCAGCGCAGCATAGAGAAGCGCCGCGGCCAAGAGCGCCGAGGCCCCCCGGGACGCGCGGCGCTGTGAGCCCGACCCGGCCATGCTGGGCTCCCTCCGACGCGCCGGCGGCGGCGACAACAGCGG